GAAAAAAAAGGGAGATTTAGCTAGTGCTGATAACTTTCTTTATGGAATGCTCAGGAGCGAACGTAAGGCGAATACGTTTCATGACAGCCCCTTCACTTGAGAAAACGAAAGTTCATTTTGATGAAGCTCTTTTCCTAGATGCGGGTGCTGTAACGTAACTGGTCTTGTCTTGTAGTCAGGGATGAGAAGATAAGGGATGATTATTGCGATTGCGGTCATGACAGATAGAATCTCTCTACTTACTTATTCCCCCCTTGCCTGATGGATGAAACTCCTTAATAGTACTTTAATGGAAGAGTAATAAACAAAAGAAGAGATTTATAAGCTTAAGCTTCTTTTCCGATCGTCTTATAGTCTCCATCTTCCTATGTTTATTGTCTTTCTTTTTCTATGTTTTCCCTTCGCTCTCGTGCTGGCTATAAGCCCACCTAACTATAGGCTACTCTCAATTGTCAGGTTCACCCCTCTGGAAAGTCAGATATTCTTCCCCTTTCTGGACTGGATCAAGAGTTGGTGACATCTGCAAGCGCCTTAAGCGTGAAAAGCACGCAAGGGAAGGAGGAAGTTCTATAGTTCTGGTATTAGTCTTAGATTGTTGGTAGTAGGTTGAACGGCATTCCTAAAAGACTTTGCTTGCGTGCGACTAAGAGTAGTGGCTAGGTGCTTTTTCCGATCTGTAGATTGAATCCAAGATTCTTGCTTTTTAATTGCTATCCCGCTTCTTCATAGCCCCGAGGGTTCCCTGTCAAATTTCTTTCGTAGGTAGACTGATTTAGGAATTTTTTGATAGGGTATGTGGTAGACCTTCGTTCCAGGAATAGTTGGATGGTTGGCGGTACGGTGATAGGTAGGAGTGACCCTAATTAATAGAAAGAGGTGAATGCGTTAATATAGATAGTAGGCGGAGTGGTATTAATCTAAGGGGCTAAGGCTTCGCTTTTGACTATGTCACCGGTGAATCAGACGCACAAGACATCGGATAAAGGGAGCAAAGGGCCTCTACAACTAAAAGCAAAAAGTCTATCCTATCTTCCATCCTAAGCTCGACCGGGATATTTGATTGGACAGAAGACCGGTCGAGCTGTATTGGGCAAAGGCTCATCGGTCTGCTCTGTCTTCTGAATCCGTCCGTTGGTTGTTTGGCTAGGGATTAGATCTATTGGCCATTTCTCCTTAGTGAGAAGGCGTCTGAAATGTCTCTCATGGGTCCAGCTTTGCTATGGATTGAATGACACTGTCTAATCTAGTGCATTTTGATTCAAAAGATCGATTTCCTGCGGGTGGAAAAGAAAGGCTCATCTGCTCTCTTCGGTTAAGCTGTCCACGACACGACTCCAAAAGAAAAGACCCCACCGTGGTATGCGCCAATAAGACCACCAAAACGTACCTATACCAGTGTCGGTTATATTGAGGTTTGATTTCCTTAGCCAAAGACGAATACCGCCTGTAGCCAGCCTCTTTAAACCTCAAAGAGACCTGAAGGAAAGAACATCCAATTGATGGCATAAGAGCCACGCTGAAATAAAGAAAAGAGAGTTCCCTTCCTCTCTAGAAGTAGAAGGGATCAACTAGCTTAGTAGCTCGTCTGATTAATTGCCACTCTAAAGTCAGAAAAAAAGCCCAAAGTCACATAGAGCATTAGATCTTCTTCTGTCGACTAAGAATGATTTGGGCGTATAGTCGGGAATTCAAGGTCGAATACTTGATCCACCTGGGCTATGGCTTGATCTTAGCATGACTGGTAGTCTTGGAATGACTGCTATAGTCCCTCAAGCTTGCAAGCAAAAGGTCGAAGACAAAGGAAGCATGCCTATGTTATTCCACTCAGCTCATCTACTGAAAGAGGAGTACTTGATTTATTCACTGGCCTTCTTCTTGCTGGTGGGCCTTGCTGCTTGGCTGCTTTCCCCGGTGCCAGCTCTGAAAGCTGAGGTATCTGTACCGGTCGCTATTGAACACCCTATCAGGTGGCAGAGAATTTGAGAGGATTCTCGGTTCTTAGTAGGATTCTTGAAGAAGGTTCTGCTAATAGCTACTGAAGGTCTAACCAAAGAGACTTGTCTCGCAGTCTACCCGTAAGAACTTTAGGCAAAAGTTGGGGGTGGCTATTTATCGCTCTGTATCTGAAGCAGTGTGCGTCTTGTCTAATGACGGCGTCTGGAGGCGATAAGAAAGCTCCAGATTCTTGCCTGTACCGGTCTCCCTCACTAGGTCTGGCTATCCTCGGATCTTCTTTACATAGAATAATGATCTAAAAGAAAGAAGGTCGGGCGGTTCAGATTGACCTTTCGTTCTCTTCTTTGGCGAAGTGTATTAAACTAGCCAAGAAGGTAACTAAGGGTCACTTTTGATGATATGATCCGTCCTTGGGATGATCCTGAGGCTCTCTCAAGTTGGATCTTTCTTTTGTCCCTTGAAGACTTGACTCTTGAGATATATGCCTTATATTACCACCATTCCCCTTTCCCTTTACCAAGGGATGACGTGGTCTCCAACCTGGAAGGCGCTGCCAACTTATAAGTTCACTGTTGATAAATTGACCCGGGTGGAATAAGGCTAGGACCATTAGGTCTTCTTTGATTTCACTTGCTTATCTTATGAGTTGGCGTCTTTTCCATTTCTCCTTGTCTATGTACATACGCAGGGGGAAGAGTGGTCCCAAGGGTGTCTGTGGGCCGAGAGAGTTCGCTATCCGTTTTATTACCATACGAAAGAAGGATTTGACTGGTAGTGATCTTGATTGGTTCGAAAGGACCGTACTTCCCCCATTGTAATCAGGTTAAGTCGATTCCGATCACAGGCCGACTTGTCGGCTATCACTCTTCTTGGTAGAATTTGAAAAGAAGCTTAGGGGGGAAGATGAGCAAATCTTTACCCAGGAATCCGGTGTTGAGGCCCGAAGACTTGAAATGAAACCCAACCTAAGCTAATAAAAAAGTCAATTTGAAACCTACTAAGTCAACTCAAGTAAAAGAAGGATTTAATAAGAAGACAAAGGAGAACAGAATGCCAGACGAGTAGAAAAGCCAGAGAAAGCCTAAGCCAAAATGTTGAGGCGCCCGGAAACTTTGAGTTTTCCCTCCGTAAGTCAGTTGTTCAGTCTTTCCTTCTTATGCAACACGGCTAGAGCAGCTGTGGCCGAACCCTTGTCAAATTCAAAGGTCATTCTCTATATTAACCAAACTTGTATGACCGACCGGTAAGCAAGATCTACGAAGTTCTATCGGCAATCCGGTTCTATATAGGTGGGCCGACCCCAGTAAAGGCTTCCAGCCAAAGTCTTTGACTACTTTTTAGACCCCGACGTCCCAATGTGTATTTGGATTCTTCCTTGTTCACAGCTTGACTCTCATTTCTGGAGCGGAAGTCACATAAGCTAAGGCTGTCGGTGGTGGTCTAAAGAAAAAAACCACCATAATCTTGTCTTTTAAGATAAAAATCAAGCTATAAGACAGCATGCTAGAGCTAACAGCAAAGATTTGAGTAGCCTGGACGAGTAGAGCACGCTTCTTTCTTTATACGGCGCCTTTAGCTAGATGAAGATGAATCATAGTACATACCGACTCCAACTTTGAGGTAGACGTGGGTCAGACCATCTCTGTAGACTACCACGAACTGGTATGGGCCATGTAAAAGTGCCAGTCTAACCAGTTCCCTCGGCGGGGTAGAGCCCTGTCTAGACAAGACAGCCTAAATGGAAATGCACTTTTAAAGGAAAGCTCAATCCCATCTCGTGCCCAGTAAGAAGAGAAGTCAAGGAGATGGTCATGGCTAGATCGAGCCAAGAATGAAGAAGCTTCTTTTTCGTGACATTTGACTGAAGGCGGAAAGGTTCGGATCGTTCTGATGATGCTTTGAAAGTCAGGGAATTTCTGACTTTGACATACCTATTTCGGTTGTGTAGGGCCTCAAAAAGAAGAAAGCCCCGGCAAGAGTAGGCCGAACAAGCAACGGAATGAGCGCCTCGCCTTTACTCTAATAAGGGCGTTCGTTAGCGCTTGACTAATAACATAGAAAGGGGCAAGCCAAAACCTACTCCTAAAAAGTAGCTGAGTTCGGCTTTCGGGGCTACCTACTTTAGGGCTTATATAATATATAATATAAAGAAGAGCCCTCTGCAGGCCTTTTTGTTTAAGGGCTGCTCGCCTTTTTGAATAGAAGGAAGTGGGATAGCGGAGGTTCTTTCGGTAAACCGATGCATGAGCGGAGGCTCCCATGTCCCGCCGACCCTCCGAAAAAGTCAGGTTGTAAAACGGCTCATAGGGAGTCAGAAGCAAGCAGAGTCAAAGGCGGGTCAAACTCACATAAGCAGAGGGGGTTCATGAAAAGCGAGAAGCCGTGCCGTGGGAGACTGACCAACTATGAATAGATCTGACTTTCGGGTAAGAGTAAGAACATCTATTAGTCCGTATCGTGGGTCTACTTGTTACAAAAGGCGAACATCCCCATTCCAAAACATTCACATAGGTCCTCAGGCAGGCATCGAAAAGGGGACGAAAAGAGTCTATTTACCCTTACAATATTCCGGAATGTATCATGGCCCTATCTATTCATCTTTTTCTTCAAAAAGCAAAAGTTCCGCCTCTCTCCGGGGCCGGGGGAAGAAATAGGCGTGGGGAAGAGGGAGAGGGGGGGGGCTACGAGCCCTCTCCCGTTGCAGTTCCCGGACCACCCATCCCTTCCTTCCCCTTCGCCCGGCCCGGTGAGGTCCGATGAGATCAGATCTCTCGATCGAAGTGAAGTGATAGGAAGAGAAGACTGCTGGCGGGAGATCTCTATTCATTACACCCCCTTGTATAGTAAAGGGAAAACGGAAGTGCGCTCCTGCGCACCCTATATAAGGGGAAGGACCCTTGGAAGCTTACCTTTAGAGAAAGGGGCAAGCCAAAACCCACTCCTAAGAAGTAGCTGGATCGAAGTCTCAAATTCTCCATCCGCCCGCCAGCAGCAGAGGGGGTTCGATTCCCGTTATACGCGATGTGGCGAAAAAGACTGATTCAACGAGATATGCCTTGCCTGCATTAAGATTTAAAACTTGTCGTCTACTTTCAGGAAATGTTCGGAACAGAGAACTTACAATAATACAACGCCGCATTCTCCGAAGATTGAGGAACAAGAAGAGATCTATTAAGAGAAAGATTTATCCGAGAAAAAATCTTAACAGTTACATCCAATCACAAACTACACGAAAGTTGTCCCTTTTTCATGGGGATTTACCCATCACAGAGATGCACAGAGGAACAGAACGAACTTCATATATCCCTTTTCCACTCAATCCAGAAACAAGATTGGACGTTATTCCGGTTCGTCTCCATTTTCGTGAAACTCTTCCTCAAGCAAGGCAGCCGATAAGTCATCGAAGGGTTTGTGTGAATAATGGAATGGTAAGCATTACTCGTTTAAAACTTTCCCACGGTGATATAATCTCTTTTCAAGAAAATGACGCAAGAATCCGCGGTGAAGAAATAAGGAGATCTTTCTATATCGAAATATCAGTTGAAAAAATCATAGGCAAATTCCGGAATCACCCGGTAAGAATGTGGAGAAGAACCAAAACAAAATGGTTCCACCTACTAAAAACGAAGAGGGGATGCCGCCTACTACTAAAATCCCGGTTTTTGCAAAAGTTGCGTTCTTCTATGCAAAAGGAAGACTTAGAAAGAACAAAGAAGTTTGGATCCGAAAAAGTATGCTTAGGCAGTTCCTTCGCTGAGCACAACAGAATGAAGAGGAATTTGTATCATTTCAAATCCCTATTCTTATCGAAGAGAAGGAACGAGAAAAACCGAAATCTTCCTACTCGAACAAGAAGTCCTATAGTTTACAACTCTTCTTTATATAGTAATTCGACCTATTGCTCCGCATCCCCCCAAAAGTGGACTATGAAGAGAAGAAGAAAAAGGATCAAACTACCTACTCATTATTCGGAGGTGAATCATAGAACACCAAAAGCTGTGGTATCTTATGGACCTAACATAGGTCACATCCCTCACGACATAAGATTGAAAGATCCAAACCTTCCTCTTCGGAGCGGAAACGGACGTGGCCAAAACATATAAAGATCGGCGTAGTCGCTCATAGGGACATATCTATCCGGATAGAGGATAGTCTAGATCGATTCATAGATGGATTTCTATCCATATAGATAGGTATCTCCGTGGATAGAGATAAAGATAGGGATCCATCTAGATCTTGATTCACAATTTCCATTATTTTGCTTTTTTGATTGATTGCCTTTTTTTTGACGACAAGTTTTAAATCTTAATGCAGGCAAGGAAAGATCGTTTTTCCATTATGACTTTCTGGGTCGGAGCGTAGACGAGCGAGCAGAGCCCAGGAAAGAGGGAAGCCCGTCATAGAGCAGTCGACTAGAAGTAGAAGACTGCTGGCCTGAGAGAAGGCGGCCTCTCTCGGGAAAGATGGCCCAATTTCTCTTCTTTCTTTTTGATTTCGGGTTTCTTTCTTTTTTCAGGGGCCCAGAACGCTAAAAGGTAGGGGAGAAGCAAGCCGAACCTCTGATCGACCTAGACACATAAGAAATTCTCGGCGTCGAGAGAGATTTGAGATTCCGTAAGTCACTCAGTGAGTTCTTTCTAAGAAGGGCTTGGCTTGGAAAAAGAAAATGAAATACGAACAACCGCGCTGGTCGTAATAGATCGACTTTCATGCTGGAGCAAGAACTAGCATGAAAGTTCCATTTCAGGGAAGGACGACGTACCATGAGACTTTCTGTTTTGTCGAGCCCTGCTTTGGTCTCTGGTTTGATGGTTGCACGTGCTAAAAATCCGGTACATTCCGTTTTGTTTCCCATCCCAGTCTTTCGCGACACTTCAGGTTTACTTCTTTTGTTAGGTCTCGACTTCTCCGCTATGATCTTCCCAGTAGTTTATATAGGAGCTATAGCCGTTTCATTCCTATTCGTTGTTATGATGTTCCATATTCAAAAAGCGGAGATTCACGAAGAAGTATTGCGCTATTTACCAGTGAGTGGTATTATTGGACTGATCCTTTGGTGGGAAATGTTCTTCATTTTAGATAATGAAACCATTCCATTACTACCAACCCAAAGAAATACGACCTCTCTGAGATATACGGTTTATGCCGGAAAGGTACGAAGTTGGACTAATTTGGAAACATTGGGCAATTTACTTTATACCTACTATTTCGTCTGGTTTTTGGTTCCTAGTCTGATTTTATTAGTAGCCATGATTGGGGCTATAGTACTGACTATGCATAGGACTACTAAGGTGAAAAGACAGGATGTATTCCGACGAAATGCTATTTCTTTTAGGAGGACTATAATGAGGAGGACGACAGACCCACTCACGATCTACTAAAGAAAGGGCAAGTAGCTTGATTGGTTCGAATCCAATTCGTGAGAAGAGTCCAAGCGAGAGACTATAAGAGTCAAAGGGTCCTCGGCAAAAAGAGTCATAAAGCTCGCTCTTTCACTCATAAAAGATGATGGATAAGCAGTCGTCCCTTACTATATTCCTTCTTAAGTCAGGAATGGCGGGACGGGGAAAGGCCTTTTCCTTCCCCTATAAGCGTAGTTGAAGCGTAGCTTGTTCTCGTTCCCCGGGACTCCAATTCGTTGCCTGCCTTTGATCGTATATGATCTCGTTCCCTGCCTTCGTATATGAGTATCGACTACGCAACAACGCTTCCCCGCTTCCATCGTCCCGGGATATCGTATTCGTTGCTTGCCTTAACGCCTCATTATAACCATTTGAAAGCCGGGGAATGATTGAAGATTTCGCTCCAACTCTGTACGCCCGGAGATAGCACCTCTCACATTAGTCTCTTGTCTAGCTTGAGGCAAGAGTGATAAAGGCACACAACTCTCGGCGTAACCTCACATCTTTCGACCATCCACTTTTTCAGTGCTCCCTAGCTATCTTGATCCACTTCCCCTTTCGTTTGGCAGATACCGCGTGAGGAGAGTAGTCCTACACCCACCCCACTGCACTGACTTGGCATTCTAGAATCGGGTGCTCTCAACGTGTGAACCAAGGTAGACCAACTCATCATATGCTGACCTTCATTAACTGATTACTGGTTGTCCGGTACTCCGTCACTTAGCCATTGCAGCACCTCACGTGACTTTCGAGTGAAATGTAAGGGCAGGCATGCAATCATACTTTAGGAATACAGGAGTACCGTATCCTATATATATTCTTTTGAAGCTTCTCCTGGGACGTTGGCAGCTTGGTTACACCATGTGAAGCACAGTTGAGGCGTGAACAAGGTACCTGTAGGGTACCCTGGTCATTCAGAGCATCCGCCCAGCCACTAAGTCTCACAGGCTTGGTTCGCCTTGGTGAGATCGCTTGGACCTTGACATTCTAACCAGAAGTAGCTGCCGACAGGAATGTTCAAGCAGCCAACAGAAGGGCTGTCATGCGCCGTGTTCTGGAGTCTGTTAACGACAATAGCTCTTGCTCCAGCGGTTAGCACTTGACAGCTTGCTAGGTTGACAATGGGCAGCCAGGCAAAGTGTTGGAGGTAGCCGATAGGGCTTAGCTCGATCAGAATAGATTTGGTCGGACCGAATCCACCTCGATGAGACCACATTGAACTCGCATCTTTGATGGTGGGTTGCCTACGCAGCAGACGAAGTTGAATTCTCTACAAATGTCAAATCTATATCTATGTTTTCACCAATTTCTATTTATTTCAACGCGTCTTACATCTTCCCATTCCGGATGATGAAACCAGGTGTTCACAAATAGGTATATGCTAACATAGCTGTTTGCTCTCGTGAGCAAGGAAGAGGTCAACCAGCTTTGGTCTATGATAATGCCAGCCACCCCTGCGGTCAAATCAACTCAATGCCGGGCCGGGTCTTTCCCCAATCCCAATTCACCATAGGGCTCTTATAGATGACCAGACTTCCATCGGTAGAGTGGATCGGATAGTGGTAGCCCATAGCACGACGCTGCAGCAAGGTCGAAAGAGGGTCAGAGCAGTCGTTCCAAGCAGGTGGAAGTAAACTCGAATAGGTGAACCTCTCCTCTCATACTATGAATATGTCGGTTTCATTTACAAATGGAACCGTACCTGATATGGAAGATCAAGGCCTATAGTTAGCCCATCGCTAAGCAATTCCTGCAGGTTCTTTCTTGGCCATAACCCACAGGGGAGTTACTGCGGGAGATGGGAAGAAATTGATCACCGGGTCGTATGCAGGACACGCGGCCGGAATTTGATAGTCGTTCAATCACCAGACGACTAGACGAAGGTCCTTTGTATCGGCGCCGAACCTCCCCGTCCCTAGCTGACGCACGATGGTGGGCGTTCACCAGCTCTATTCCACACTCTGCCGCACCCTATATGTACATAATCATTCTGCATGCTGCTGGCCTCTTGGACCTTACAATACGTTATTAGTTGGAATATCTATGCAGAGGTAGAACCTAACCGATTATTAGTCGATTGATTCGGCTTACGGGCGAGCAACCGTAAGCAGAGCGGATCACCCCCACGCTAGGGGAGCATTAACGTAGTGACTCATGCCCCATTGCCTGAACTTAACCTCCAAGTCGTGGGGCTCGGGGAGGTCGCGAACCTACACCCATCCGGAATCAGTCCAAAACCGCCCTAGGCCTAGCTTCGTGAGATGCCCGCCATCATGAAGGGACGTAGGATTAGTGAAAAGGAAAGTACGCAATCAAGCTACGACGTTCCATAGCTCGACTAGCATGTCCCAATTCCAATATCTAGGCCACTTTCACATTTCAGGTTGATTAGTCAAAATTATACAGAACATGTAGGTTACCTAGGTAGGGCTTACTTAGCAACCAAGTCCACGATTAATGAACCCTTCCGGGATGGGATACTCATGTAGTCAATACTATATAAATGTCATATTGGTCAGCTAGACTTATTTAATGATTTAGTTATAATGCAGCCACAGATCACTCAAAGGATTCATGTTCAGCGCACATTCTTAGTCGACAACTAGCTAGATCAGATCCTTGGTCTATTCTTGAGCGAATTTACCCGCCGCAAGGTCGTTTCAGATTACAGGCCGGAGGAGCAGTAAGAGAACATACGATACCAATTAGTTACATAGCTTTCTGAGTAAGTTAACTGTTGAGGACCAATCTGAGACAGCGTTATCAGCCGCAGATAGCAGCGCTCGCCTGAACTTTGTATCACCTACATCGTAAGACCATAGGCAGACGATAGAGCGGACCGAGGTGCAAGCGCCTTACACTAGACCCCTAGTTGGACCTATCCAGAATTAGAGCGATAGATACGTCACTTAAGGCCTTAGAGAGTAGGGAAGAGTGGTGAGCTGTGGAATTTGACCAAAGTTTCTTTGAGTTTCAGTCCTAGTCACCATACTAGGAGGTCAGGATAGCCAGGAGCGTATAGGCCTACGGGTATTCTAATTCCTTTCCCGGACACCATATATGGCTTCGGGGCACCTAGTTTATAAGTACTCCGTCGTGCTAAAGCTTACCCGGGTGTCCCAGCTTGGATCATAAGGCGCTAGCAGAGGCAGAAGAAGAAGGTTAAAGGGCAAGCTATCAAGCAAGAGAAAGCTGAGCCAGTTACTTGCCAGGATTGAATCCCAATGCAATGTAATCGGGCAAAAATAAGGATCAGAGAAAAGGAAGCTAGCAAGTCAAATCCAATGATCAAGCCAGTTAGAGATGTACTTCTAGTCCAAGGGCATCTAGTTACATTCCCTCTCTTGGAAGTTCTATGTTTAGCCCATCAAGTTAGAGCAAGCTAGGGATAAGGCAAGTCTTTCCAGTGAGTAAGCAATGGAAAGAGGTATTTAGAATAGATTCATTATTCCCAGCCATCAGTCCCAGTCCAGCAGGTCCTCCTTTCCCTTCCTTTGCAATCCCAGAGGAAATGCAGAAATCCATCAGGCCCTTTCAAGCAGTTTTCAAGCCAGCATGCTTTCAGAGGTAGCATGTCTAGTAGACGAGGGAGAGTCAGTCAGATATTGTCCTCTATATTCCCTGTACTGTACCAGTAGTCGTCCCAGTGGAGCAGGAGTATTGTATTGAAAGCAAGCGGCAGGAGAAAAGCTAGGGATAAC